GAGCCATGGGGAGGTTCTGGGGTAGGTCTGCTCCTGCTTCACACCGAGAGGGCACCTCACCTCCCTTGAGGCACCTTCTGACCCTTCTGTTGTAAGTCACATGCCTGGTTTCTCTTAGATACTGAATAGAAGCAGAGGACCTTCTGGATCCATTTCTTTTTTTTTCTTTTTAAATTATATATATATAAAAGTTTTATTAATTTTAGACAGAGAGGAAGGGAGAGGGAGAGAGAAAGATCGATGTGAGAGAGAAACACCTATCGGCACGCCCCCTACTGGGGATGGAGCCTGCAACCCAACCTGGGCATGTGCCCTGATCCAGAATGGAACCTGCGACCTTTAGGTGCAAATGGCGAAGCTCAACCAACGGAACCACACAGGCCGGGGCTGGACCCATTTCTTATCTCAGATGTCCCCAATAGAAGCTTCTGGACCCGATGTGACCAAGCGAGCTGGGTAAGCGGCTTCCCTGGGCCTCGCAGGCACCCTCAGCGGCACTGGGAAAAAGGAGGAGGGCGGCTATGCCAAACAAAAACTCTCCGGCTGACATGTGCCTGCGGCAGCCGGGCGGCTGAGCCGCAGCCTGGGCCTGGAGGAGGGTCCGGAGGCGCCCAGCCCCAGGGTGCCAGTCTGCCCCTCCAGGCGCAAGGTGTGCCGGCCCCTGCCGCCGGCGGGGAGCCTGGCGTGGCCACTGAAGGACACTCTCCTCCCGGGTTGCCCCTTTTCTCCACCCCCGGGTTTCACCCCATGGGCCGCGTGTCCGTGCCAGCCGCACTCTGGCACCTTGCTGAGGGCAGCGGGCAGAGGCTGTGGAGGTGTCGGTGCGGGCAGCGCCTCCGTGTGGTGGGAGCCTCGGCGCTTCCTGGGGAGCCCCTGCCTGCGCCCCGCGTCACAGCCTGACCCCTTCACCGGCCCCCAGGCCGAGGCTGGCTTCACTGACCTCGGCCCGGCTGCTCCCCGCTGCGCAGAGCCGCCGTCCATCGCGCACCGCCCGCTCCGAGCCCATGGGGCCGGCATCCCGCCGCTTCTCCAGGCCGGGCCTGGCACCTTCTGTGTCGCAGGCGGAGGCCGCACTCATCTATTCCATCCATCCCATCCATTCCATCATCTATTCCATCCATCCCATCCATTCCATCATCTATTCCATCCATCCCATCCATTCCATCATCTATTCCATCCATCCCATCCATTCCATCATCTATTCCATCCATCCCATCCATTCCATCATCTATTCCATCCATCCCATCCATTCCATCATCTATTCCATCCATCCCATCCATTCCATCATCTATTCCCTCCATTCCATCTATTCCATCTATTCCATCATCTATTCCATCCATTCCATCCATTCCATCATCTATTCCATCCATTCCATCCATTCCATCATCTATTCCATCTATTCCATCTATTCCATCCATTCCATCTATTCCATCCATTCCATCTATTCCATCATCCATTCCATCTATTCTATCATCTATTCCCTCCATTCCAGCTATTCCATCCATTCCATCTATTCCATCATCTATTCCATCATCCATTCCATCTATTCTATCATCTATTCCATCCATTCCATCTATTCCATCATCTATTCCATCCATTCCATCTATTCCATCATCTATTCCATCTATTCCATCATCCATTCCATCTATTCCATCATCTGTTCCATCCATTCCATCCATTCCATCCATTCCATCCATTCCAGGCTCCTCCGCAGCGCTGGACCACCTGAGGCAGGGCCTCCCTGGGGGGCGCGCTGTGACTCCGGCTCCGACTGTGCCCTGACTCCCCATATGTACAATCGCGTGGCTAAGACCTGCTGGCCCGTGTCCTCATTTGCAAGAAAGAATTGGAGGAAGAGGGAAATCACCAGCCCAGGGCTCCCAGCCGAGGTGCCACGCTCAGGAGCCTGGCGCAGAGACAGAGCCTGAAACAGCAGCTGCTCCCTCTTGGTGCATCGGCAGGTTGCCGCCTGAGAACCTGTGTTCTACTTCCCTGTCTTCCCAGAAAGTGGGGGTCACCTTCTCTACTTAGGGTCCCCTTGGTACTTCACCCCAAGTTGTCCTACTCTTGATATTAGCCTAATTTTTCAAAAAAAATTTCAACCATTACCACAGAAGAGAGAACTGTGTAATGAACTCTGCACCCATCACCAGTTTCAACAATCGAAAACACCTACCTCTCCCTCCCCCAATATTTTAAAGCAAATTCCAGTTGTTGTATCAGTATCACTACCTATAAACACTCGGGTGAGTATAACAGATAAAGATGTTAAAGCACAGAGCTACAATATTTTTATCACACCCAATAAAATTAAGAAACTTTCATTAATATAATCTAGTACACAATCCATATTAATTTTTTTCCAATTGTCTCAAAAATGTCTTTTTACTGTCAAAAAAATATTCAAACCTGTGAAGAACTTTTGTGAATGTGTTTGAGCCAAACTGTTGACCATGTCTGGGAAGCAGACTCTCAGCAGATTGAGATAATGCTCCGGGGAACCGCAGTTTCCACCTTGCTTTATACATCACAATCAAAAGAGGAGACTCAAGCGGGTTACATGAAATCCCCCGTGATAGATTAGGGAGGCGGGAGAAAACAAATCAGGGAAACCTCTGGGATTGGGTAAAAACTAAAATGATGGACGCACTTCTTTTACTTAGGTTGGTACAGGTTAGTTAATAGTCAACAATTAACATGATAAAAATAACAGTGAGAGGGTTTGTAGTCTCTGCTCTAGTGCATTGGTCCTGCACTGAGGGGTCCGGATAAAGGGTAGGTACCCTGGCTTTCCAAAGGTATGTTATCCTAGATGCAAAAGACAATGTACAGGCTCAGTTAAGGTAAACATTGATTTTTTTTTTTTTTTTTTAGGATGGAAACAGTTGGAGGGTTTTTTGTTTTTGTACAACACAAATTTATTGTCCTATAGGTCTGTAGGTTAGGAGTCTAGCACTGGTCTCACTTGCCTAAAATCAAGGCACAGGCAGGGTTGCACTCCTTTCTGGAGGTTGTAGGGAGAATCCTTGTCTTTGCCTTTTCCATCCCAAACGCTGCCATAGTCCTTGGCTTATTAACCCTTTCCTCTATCTTTAAAAAATTTTTGCCAATACATCTCCTTGGGCAAGAGAAACAAAGGAAAAAAATAAACATATGGGACTACATCAAACTAAAAAGTTTCTGCACAGCAAAGGAAACCATCCACAAGATGAAAAGGGAACCCATGGAATGGGAGAACATATTTGCCAAGGATACATCTGATAAAGGGTTAATATCCAAAATATATAAAGAACTCATACAGCTCAACAAAAGAAAGTCAAATAATCCAGTAAAAAAAAAAATGGGCAAAGGACCTGAATAGACACTTCTCCAAAGAGGGCATACGGATGGCCAAGAGACATACCAAAAAATGCTCAAGGTCAAAAATCATCAGAGAGATGCAAATTAAAACCACAATGAGGTATCACCTCACACCTGTCAGAATGGCTCCATCAACAAACCCACAAACAACAAGTGCTGGCCAGGATTCGGAGAAAGGGGAGCCCTCCCGAATTGTTGGTGGGATTGCAAATTGGTGCAGCCACTATGGAAAACAGTATGTAGTTACCTCAAAAAAGTAAATATGGAACTGCCATTTGACCCAGCGATCTCACTTCTAGGAATATATGCTAAGAAACCTGCAACACTAATCAGAAAGAACTTATGCACCCCGATGTTCATAGCAGCACAGTTTACAATAGCTAAGATCTGGAAGCAGCCCAAGTGCCCATCAGTAGGTGAGTGGATAAAAAGCTGCGGTGCATTTACACCGTGGAATACTACGCAGCTGTAAAGAAGGAGCACTTACCATTTGAGACAACATGGAGGAAACGAGAGGATCATGCTGAGTGAAATAAGCAGTCAGAGAAAGACAAGTATCACATGACCTCACTCATGTGGAATCTAATGAACAAAATAAACCGACAAACAAATAAGTCCAGAGACATGGAAACATGGAACAGATTGACGATTCTCAGAGGGAAGGGGGAGTCGAGCAGGAAAAGATTAACCAAGGAATTTATATGCATATCCCAGGGACACAGACAATCGCGTGGTGAAGGTCTGGGGGGGGGGTGGGTGCGGGGTAGAAGGGCAATGGGGAAAGAAAGGGGCATCTGTAATACTTTCAACAATAAAGATAAATTTTTTAAAAAGCATGAAATTAACATTTTAGGGACTAAAACTTAATAGAAGGGGACATTTAATTTCAGTTGATTTCAGACAGATTCTAGAATTTTTGCTATATTTAAGCCACCAATATTTTAGTACACAGTATTGTGAACTGGCACAATTTTTACTACATGGCTGTAAAATTTTAGGATGTCTATGCCACNTGCTCTCAACAATGAAAAGATGACCTTTGTCAGGGAAGATCCTAGCCTAGGACATGACTATCTGTCATAAACTGCTAAGTTTTAATTTCAGCCGTCCTTTGGGGTTCCTTCAGGTCCCCGAGCTTGCAGGCCGCCAGCAGGCCCGAGCTCGTGAGGCTGGCGCGACCCTCGTCCTCGTGGCGGTCACTGGGACCGGCCGTAAGGTCTCCCAGGCGCTTTCGCACCAGCCGGCCTTGGGTCTTGCTCTCAGCGAAAGTGCTGTGATGGGGAGGCCTCACTTCCCGAAAGCCCCGGCTCACTTCCCCAGCTCACTTCCCCAGCTCTTTCCTAGTAACGGAGGAACACAGGGCTCCTTTTTTGGGTGTTTTTCAATGACAAAAGGAGCCCCCTCACCCTTCAGCAGCAGCTTTGAAGCAAACGGGTTCCTCTAACAGCTTTCAAAGCCCAGCGACCGGCCCAGCTGAGGGGAAGGCAGGGCTTGCTTCAGTTCTGCTGGAGGTCGACATTCCCAGGGAACTTTCTTCTTTTCAGAAAGACTTTTTATGCCCTCCCACCTGCTTTTCAAAATCCAACAACCACAAAATTTACTCCATCCCCCCTTTTCTCTCTCCCTTTGCACTCCCTCTTTCTCTCGCCGCCGGGCCAGGCCGGCCATGTTAGAGAGATGGAAATAAAGCTTCCTTAACGTTGTGTCTCTGAAGTACGTCGTGCATTTTTATTTTTTGTGTGGCACCCAGCAATTCCCCCCCGCAGCCCCCGGCCCTCCAGCCGCCCTCTCCCACCTCCCGGCCGCGCCCGGTCTGAAAATGCGCCCGGCCGCCCGGCTGGCGGGGCTCAGCCTCGTGTTCTCTTTGGGTAAGTTGGCCCGCGGCCGAGGGTCCCCAGGGCGCCGGGGGAGGGCTGGGCCCGCTCCTCTGCGGTGTCCTTGGGCGGGGAGGTGAGGACCGGGAGATGCCGCCGGGGCCTGGCGATGCCGGGGCACAGAAATGCTGAGTGTTGCTCGGGGATGACAATTGTCAGGGGACGTGATTTTTGTTCGGCTGCCTTGAAGTGCACCTGTGTGTGGGGTGGGGTGGGGTGACCCATTTGCAGCGCCCCTTCCTTGATTTTTTAAAGCTGCGGTACCGGTGCGGTCCTGAGACTTAATGCTCCCCCAAGGGGCTTCTTCTGTGGACCTTGGTCCTTGGAATCTGGTGGATGTGGGGTATCAGGAGAGACTTCGGGGTAGTTGGGGGCAGAAAGTTGATTCTGGGTCTGGCTTCCAGGGGGCCCTGAGCACTGCTGTTTTGAGATGTGCTGGGGAGTGGGTGGGAAGCGGGCTTGGGGAATGGTCCTGGACCTGGACCTCAAGGACACTTGCTGCCCCAGGCACTGGTCCACATGGGGTGGAGGAGGGGTCAGGTGAAGGGATCAGGAAAAAAATTTTAAAAATTAAAAAAGGTAGGAAGCCAGGGGCCAGTGAATTTGTGGCCCTTTGAGAGCAGTCTCAGAACCGCCCGCCCAGCCTTGCAGTCTGCCCTGATAAGTGATCCAAAGTTAATTTCATATTTCACCATTCGTGGGCTTTCTGGTGGGTAGGTGGGCAGAGTCATTTGCAAGATTGCTCTATAGGCAGTTTCATTCCTGCTCCTAAACGCATTCATTGCAGGCGTAGCAGCTGACGGTCCAGTCCGAGGACTGTCAGCAGGAATGGCCCCCCCCACGGTCTGTCTCAGGTGTGCTGTGCTGGGTCATTTGGCAGGAGAGCTGAACAGAGGCCGCGCAGAGCCCCGGAGCCTGCGTGGTAAGACCTGTCAGCGTTGCCGAGCTATCGGACACGTTAACAGCAGAGCAGGAATGTGTGGCGGTGCAAAGCGCGTGGATCTGGAATCCGATCTGGGGTTAAGGCCACCTTTGTCATTTGCTTCATATCCATAGCAAGTTGCTCGACCGCTCTGAGCTCCAGTTCTTTCATGGGTAACCTGGAGAGTACCTACTGCTTGGGTTTTTTGTGCGTTTGGTGTATAAGCGAGTCAGGTGCTCAACAGTAGGCCACCTTGACGAAGCATTTCAGGCGCCCAGGCGCTGTGCATCCTGTGTGGACCTCACGGTAGTTGGTTTTTGTATGAGGTAGATACTGTTGCTATCCTCATGCTATAGGTGAGGAGACCGGTACAGAGAAGTTAAGCAACTTGCTCAGTAAGGTCACATGACGAGGTCAGGGCGAGCTGAGATTTGAACACCGTTTGACTTTAGCCTGTTCTTAACCTTTGAACTCTACTGCCCCCAGTGTTCAAGACGCGTTACTGTCATATTAACCTAATGATCCAAGGATCTCGATTGCAGGCAGAAAGCCGGGTGTAAGGAGCTGGGGTGGAGGACAGGTGACCTCCGCCTGGAGTTAGGGGAGCTTCCTGCGGGGGCGCAGCCTTGTGAGAGTCTCATCTAAGTGAGGAAAGGAAGGAGGCTCAGTGGCCAGGACTGGGGTGTGGCACAGGGGAAGATGGATTCCTGGGTGAAGAGGTTAGGGCCTGGGGACTGCGACGTGATGGGAGGAAGCCACAGGCTCTGCAAACCTGGGTGGGAGAGGGTGCGTGAAGGGAGGCTGGCTGAACGTGTACCTGGGTGGGAGAGGGTGCGTGAAGGGAGGCTGGCTGAACGTGTTCCTGGGTGGGAGAGGGTGCGTGAAGGGAGGCTGGCTGAACGTGTTCCTGGGTGGGAGAGGGTGCGTGAAGGGAGGCTGGCTGAACGTGTTGCTGGGTGGGAGAGGGTGCGTGAAGGGAGGCTGGCTGAACGTGTTGGTGCTGTGACCAGGCGCACCCTGGCACTCCACGGCTGAGGGCTGAGGTGGGCAGCGGAGCTTTGGGGGTCGTGGTAGCATCAGTCCTCCAGATGGAGGGGCGCTACAAGTGACAAGGGAGGAGTCTGTCAGGGACTGAGTTTGTGAGGATGACTACAGAGCTGGCCAAGCGGACAAGCTGGGCAACCTGCTGCACACGCGGCAAAAGCCTGAGAGACTAGTTTTGAGCTAGAAACCATCCAAACGGTTGGGCTTCCCTGGGTTTCCTCCTGACCGCTGGCTCTGTGGTCACTGGCCTGGTGACCAAAGCCTGGGCTATGTTAGGCGAGGCCAAAAGTGGGGTCTGGTCCTCACCCAAGCCACTGCACATATCTGCTGCCGGGGCAGGGACCCAGGCACAGTGGGTGGGGACGGTGCCTTTTCTTCCTTCTACAGGCTTCTGTTGAGTATCCACCGTGGGTCACATGCTGTCTAGGTCAGGGTACCGGGGCAAATACGAATCAGCTCCTTGGGGCCTCTGGAGGGACTCAGGCAGAGACAATAACAACCGAGCACTGAAATGCTGTGACGACGACAATAATAATGACAGCTACCCTTATGCAGGACTGACCGCCAGGCACTGCTGTGGCTTCATACTAGCCAGGTGTTTAATCCTCACAGCAGTCCTATTACTGTCCCCATTTTACAGGTGAGGAAAGCGAGGTGCCTAAGGTCAGGTCGGGGCACTAGAGCCCTGGCCTTGGCCACGGTGCCATGCTGACTCCTGTCCTGTGGAGGCGGAGGGCGGGGCTGGGGGGCGGGCACAGGCCCTGGCCGGGTGTCACTGAGGCCACACCTTATTCGCTGTCCTCTGCAGCATAAGTGGGAGGACCCCAGGTGCAGGAGGGTGAACTAGCTTCCCAACTTGAAGCAAAAGCATGTGTGAAGGTGAGAAAGAAGGAAGAGTGAAAGAAGGCGGTGTTTCCAGGAAAAGTAGGACCTCCAGTCATGGAGTGGGGGAGTATGGAGGGCTGGAAGCTGGCAGGGCACGAGACGAGCATGGAGGTTGGTCCCAGGTCGCAAAGGGCCCGGAAGCCGCGCGCAGGACCTGGACTTGATCCCAAGAGCACAGGGAGCCCAGGGAGGTTTGGGGGGCAGATTGCTCTCATGGCCGCATGGGGTGGATTGGGAGAGGGCAGAGCCCGGGCAGGGGCAGGTCTGAATGGCAAGGCAGGGTAGGAGACAGGGCCTGGGTTTCCCACTCTCCTGAGAGGCCAGGGCTGCCCCAGGAGACAGTGTGGTCTGGAAGGTCGGGAGACAGTTTCTCTGCTTAGACTCTCTCTGTTTTAACCCAGAAGAAAATAAACTTGCTACAGGATTGGAGGGAGGAGTGACAAGAAGTCACTTCTGGTCTCTGCAGGAGATAGTGTTTGGCAGGAGATGAGCACATTTTGTGATCTCTGCAGGACGGGCCAGTGAGAGCAGTGGGCGACACGGGCCTGAGGGGCCAGATGTGCCTTGGAGAAAATGGGGAGGCCCTGCACCAGTGATGATTTGGACTAAGCTCAAAAGCTACATCCTGACTGCACCCCTGTTGATCATTTCCTTTCTGCGAGTTGGAAATCAGGACACCCAGGCCCCAGACCTGGTCCCAAACAGACAACCAGGAAGACTGCGGGCTCTCCTTGCAGGGAGTTCCTTTGAACAGAACCATTCCCTCCTGACTGGATCTACGGTGTAGACAGCAGGAGGTCTGGCCCCTGGGACACCTTGAAAAGCAATCACACCCCCACCCAGCCTTAACCCATCAACCCGCTTTCTGGAGCCTGGCAACCTGGGTTTAAATCTAACTTTCCCACTTGCTACCTTGGGCCTTTCATTGAGCTGCTTGTGCCTAAGTTCGTCCTCGGGAAGGTGGAGGAGTGTTGTTGCGGGTGTTAATCGAGGAAATGCCCACAGAGCTCAAGCCGTGCCCGTGACACAGCAGCCCCTTTCCATGCCGTTGCCTCACCTGTGGCCCTGCCTGTGGACTGGGCACTCCCTGAGGGCAGAGTTCATCAGCACACCAGGATTCTGCCTGCAGCTCTGGCCTCGCAGGGGTGGCTTCGTTTTTCCTGAGGGCCTGGACTGGTGAAAGGCCTGAGGCCCCTGCCTGGTGAGGACTTGCGGACACTGTGTCCTGGACTAGGAGCCAGCACCATGGCTCTGGCCCCAGCTTGCCCCAGCTTCTGTGTGTCTCCGAGGGCCTCACTTCCCGCGTTGGTAAGACAACTGGCTAGATCGGCGGTTCCTGAGGGACCCGCTCTGGCTCCCCCTCTGCTTTGACTCCCAGGTCCTTCAGCTGCTGCCGGGACTTGGCGGTTGGCCTGGCTGGGCAGTAGAGGGCGCGCGTACATGCAGCCGGGTGCTGCCTGCCGGACCGCTGCTGGGGTTAGGGGGTGGGACCCTGCATTGCACCTCTCTGTCTGCCCCTCCTGACAGCCACAAGAGGCCCCTTGCCCCTGTGGCTCTGCCGTCCTACACAGCAGGGTCCTGGCTTCTTCAGTATGAAGGGTGCTGCCTCGTGGGGTGATGTCGTGGGCTGGGGCCCCGACAGAGGCCAGGGATGGGCTGCCAGATTTACAGCCCCTTCTTCCTGGTGTCGCTTGGCTGGGGGCCCTGGGAAGTAGCAGACCCTTTCTAGGGACGGTGCTGGAGAAGCAGGGAGCTCCTGGGAGATGAGGTCAGCTCAGGACAAGGCCCTGCCAAGCTCCTCTGCGGATTTCTCTGCGCTGCAGGGTGGGGGCGGTGAGGCGTTTTCTGCGCACTCCTCCCTGCCTGGAGCTGTGCTAGCTGCCTTCAGAATGGCTGAGCGTGGGGAGGGGAGCTGGGCTTTGTTCTTCCTGGTGGGTCCACTCAGCCTCCCCAGTTCACACTCCCCTGATGAGCATTTCGCTGCACGCGGGAGGCCTCGCCTTGCAGACGGGTCTGCATGACCAGCCCTCCATGGGCTTCGCTGTAACTGCCAGGGCCGGCAGTTCAGAGCATCTCCTGGCCTAAGTCCTGTGTATGGACCACTCGTCCTAAGGGGATGGGCCGAGCAGAGGGTTTGGAATCCCCCTTCCCTCTTCAGTGCGGCTGCTTAGGGGATGGGGTCTGCAGATTTGCACAGCTGAACAGCTTGACAAATGAGCCCTGCAGGGGTCCTGCTCCAGGGTGCCCTCTGCCAGGGGACTGTCCCAGAAGCCCTTCTGTCTAGGTGAGCAGGACTTGAGAAGTTAGGACGAGAGCTCCTATTTGCTGAGCACTTACTCCCAGGCAGACTGTGCACTGTGCTTTAGATATTTCATCTTGTTTAATCACCATAAAAACCCCTGCAGAGGGAGAGGGCGTCACCAGTCAGCATTCTTCAGAGGGGGTCTGAGGCTTAGGGGCAAAGGACCTTGCCCGGGGTCTCCATCTCAGCTGATGGAAGGCAGAGGGGGAACGAGCCCACCTCTAATCAGGCCTCCGGCCTATGCCATTCCCACAGAGGCAGCCGCAGCTCTGGGGACAGCTGCCTCGTGACTCCCTGCTCCAGTCCCTAGTGGCTTCCTGCCTCACTCCAAGGAAGCAGATCCTAAGTCTGTGCTCTGTCCCACAGAGCCTGTGACTTGGTCCCTGCCTGACTCTGGGACCTCAGGTCTCACCATTTGCCCTGTTGATCGCCCTGCTTCCTCAGACCCACGAAGCTCATTTCAGCCATTGGGACTTTCCTCTCGATGTGCTGCTGCCTTGGAACTTGATTCCTTCAAGATTTCACACAGCTCACTCCCTCACTTCAGCCAGGGGCCGCCTGCATGGCAGCCTCAGAGCAGCATTCCCTGAACACTGCTTCATTTCTTAAAACTCTTGCCATATCTCACTACCTAACGTCACAGTGTCACTTCCTTTTCTCGCTAGTGTCTGTCCCCTCCCTGGAATACTAGCTCCTCGCTGTAGCCCCTCGGCCTGTCTTGCTCACAGCAGTTTCCCCCAGGCCTGGACTAAGGGCATGGCAGGAAGTTTATAAACATTCGGTAAATGAGTGAATGAGTGATTGATGCTGAACATTACTGTGTCCTCTATGAATAAATTAATCTCTTGGGATGAGGTTTTGACGGTATTGGCAGAGAATCTTAGAATTAAGGCCAAGATTAAGGTGAGGCAAGTGAAGTGCCTGGGGTGCAAATTTTTTTGTTTTGTTAATCTTCATCCAAGGATATTTTTTCCATTGATTTTTAGAGAGAGTGGAAGGGAGGGCGGAAGGGGGAGAGGGAGAGAGAAAGAGAAACAGTGATGTGAGAGAAACACATCAGTTGGCTGCCACCCACACGTCCCTACCTGGGCTGAGGACTGAACCTGCAACCCAGGTATGTGCCCTTGACCGGAATCGAACCGGCGACCCTTTGGTGTGCAGGCTGACACTCTAACCATTGCTACACTGGCCAGGGCCCTGGGGTGCAACATTTAAGGAGGTATTGTGTGACCCGAGAGTGGGTGTCCTTGAATTTTGTGCCCCCGCTTTCTGTCCCCTGGCGGGCACTGTAGCTTCAGCTGGCAGGGCTTGGGCTTACTGGCCTCACCTAGACTCCGCCCAGCCAAGAATGTCAGCCTCACCCCCAGGCCTCCCGGACCGAGTCTGGCGCTCCTCACAGAGTCCCACGGACACCGCTGTTCCCACCCTGCCGCCCTCTCCACCTGCGCCTTTCCCACTGCAGTGTTTCCAGCCTGACATCCCCACAGCTGGCGCCTGGGACTGTGACTTTCTTCTGGGCACCTCTCCCTCCCCCTGCTTGTTCGCCCTCTCTCCTGCCTGCCTGAAGCCCGGGGCTGGCACAGAAGCTGGGCTGGGTACACTGTTCACTCTGGCCATGGACTGGGAGGCCTTCTGAATGTCTGTTTTCCTCAATGCTCTCTGTCCCACCAGGGACGCTGCAGCTTCAGCTGGAAGGGCTCTGGCTCAGCAGAGGTGGCTGGAAGTGCTGGAGAAGATGGGGAAACTGAGGCTCTTCCCCAAAGCCTTCAGCTAGCTGGTAGCACTGGCAGGACTGGAGCAGGATGGCCGGGCCACAGGGTTGCCCTGCGATGCCTGGAAAAGGCGTGGGGCCATTTGTCTGTCCCTGGGTTGACAGGTGATCTGGTCTCTCTCTACCTTGGTCTGTCCCCGATTTTACCCCCAGGGCCACATCAGTTACCCCTTATGAGCTTCATGAACTCCACCCCTCCCCTGACTAATTTCAGCCATAAGGGACTCAGCCCTCTGCCATGGCTCTGCTCCACTTCTCACCAGGTACCCAGGCTTGTCTCTCCCCCCTCAGCCAGAACACTCACCAGCTATGACTTTGTCCGCAGTGCCACCAGGGCGGAGCATGGAAGTCACAGTGCCCACTACCCTCAATGCGCTCAATGGCTCCGATGCCCGCCTGGCCTGCACCTTCAACTCCTGCTACACGGTGAACCACAAGCAGTTCTCCCTGAACTGGACTTACCAGGAGTGTGGCAACTGCTCTGAGGAGATGGTGAGTCCCGGGGTGGGGTGGGTGGGGCTGCAGGATGCCCTGCGGCACGAGGCCCGCCTCTCCCGCCACCTGCCCCTGCACTGGACCAGCACCCTGCCTGGGTACCCTGGTGGGCTGTCTGCTCCAGAGGGTTTGGCAGAAGGTGTGTGGTCATGCCCGGGCGGCCGGGGAGGGAGGTGGAGATCTGGAGGGAAAAGAAGGCATGGGGGAGGGCTCCACTGTCCTTGTGGCTCCTTGCTCAGCCCCTGCCCGGCCCTGCCCACCTCCAGTTCCTCCAGTTCCGCATGAAGATCATTAACCTGAAGCTGGAGCGGTTCCGAGACCGCGTGGAGTTCTCGGGGAACCCCAGCAAGTACGACGTGTCGGTGACGCTGAAGCACGTGCAGCTGGAGGACGAGGGCTTCTATAACTGCTACGTCATGAACCCGCCCGACCGCCACCGCGGCCACGGCAGGATCTACCTGAACGTCCTCCTGGAGGGTGAGGGGCGCGGAGCGGGCGGGCCGTGGGCGCCCCTGACCTCCCGTCGCCCTCCACACCGCCACCCAGAGCTCGCTCGGCTCCTCTGGAGCGGCTGGCCTTCTGTGGGGTCAGGGCTGAGCTGTACGGGGCACAGGCATCCGGTCTCTTCCCTCCGGTCCTTTAGGACCTGGGAGCATGCCTGAGCGTCCTTAGGACGCTCTCAGTCGTGGCCATGATCTTCAGAGTCACTGCAGCAGCTTCCGGTTACTGGCGCTTGCTGTGTCTCGGTTATAGCGCTGAGCTCCCCCTGGGTGTTACCTTATTTCCTCCTGCGAAGCCCTCCGAGGGAGGTGCTGTTATTCTACAAGTGAGGAAGCAGGCCTAGAGAGGCTCAGTAAGTCACCTAAGATCACACAATTAATAAGTAACACGGCCAGCACCTCAAAGGTCATGCTTTAAATACTGTGCCGTGCCGCCCTCCCGGGGCTTTGAGGTGGGGACTCAGAGGTAAATGGCCCTGGCTGGTTTCTGGCTTTGACTAAAGTTCTTTCCACAGAGCAGAGTAAGGCTGGGACCACATGCGCCCGGGGCAGGGNGCCTCCCTACAGTGGTGTGGGCTTCTCACCCTTCCCAAGAAGGGCTGGCCTGTGGGAGGCAGGTACATCCTCTGGTGTTGGAGCATTTGGGGTAAGGCAGCCTGGAAGAGGGATGTCAGATGGGCTCAGGGGCAAGGGACTTTCTCCATTCCAACCTCTCAGGCCAGGGAGCCATAGAAGCTAAACCATGTCCCCTCGACTGTGTCCCCCTTCAAACATGGAGACGGTCTGCTCCACCTGCCAAACTCAGCCATGAAGCCAGGGAGGCCAGAAGTCAGGAGGGCTCTCCCGGAAAGCAGCGGGCTTCTAAGAATTGGAGGACCTGGGTCCAACGCCAGGACCCGGGAGCCGGGTCTTTGGAATTCCCCCTTCCTTCTCACCCGATGGGGAACCGAATTCTTCCATTTCAGGGAACGGGTGCAGTGCTGTGTCCTTTCCCCTCAGCTTCTTCCTCTGCAGGGAAGAGGGCCACGTGGGGATTTCCGGATCCCAGGACTTCTTGGTGTCCCCAGAGGCACAGCCTCAAATTCCCCCAAAGAATTAACCAGCATCAGAAGCCACGGATCCTCTGAAGGACTCATAGTCCCTGCCTTCATCCTGGCTTGTTCCTTACCTGTCCTAGTCTCAGTGGGAAAGGGAAGGGTCCACAGGCAAGGCCCAAGTCTCCTCTATGAGATGGCCTGAGAGAACACCTCCATCTCCCAGCACCAGGCCAGTGTCCCTCTGCCCCCAGTGTCTGGGGCTCTTGCTTCTGCAGCCAGGATCTGAAAGGAGCAACCCACCCTACAGAGCCACAGAGGCATGCCTGCCCATGGAACACAGTCTCCAAAGACAGGGCAGGAGGCAGGGGCAGGGGCAGGGGCAGGGGCAGGGCAGGGGCAGGAGGCAGGGGTAGGGCAGGAGCAGCGGGGGCTGCCTCTCTCAGCCCTAGCGCTGCGTGTCTGTCCCTCCCCAGAGCCCCCTGAGCGGGACTCCACGGTGGCGGTGATCGTGGGCGCCTCCGTGGGCGGTCTGCTGGCGGTGGTCATCCTGGTGCTCGTGGTGGTGAAGTGCGTGAGGAGGAGAAAGGAGCAGAGGCTGAGCTCCGACGACCTGAAGACGGAGGACGAGGGCAAGACAGAGGGCGAGGGCCACCCCGAGGACGGCGCCAAGTAGCAGCCCCGCCCTGTGCAGTGTGCCCGCTGCCGGGCGCGCTGCCCTCCCNTCTTTCCTCTGGGAAGCCCGCCACCACGTGCGCACGTGCGGCCCCGGACAGGGAGAGGTGGGCTCACTGCCAGGCCCGAGAGGAGCGGGAGGCCTGAGAGGGTCCCAGGGAGGGGGGCTCCGCGCCCAGCCTGCTCCTGCGTGGACTCAACGGGTGGCGGCCTTGGCGGCACCCGTGGGGGGGCTTCCCTGTGCTGCCTGGGGAAGGCTGGGCTGGGCAGCGCTGCCAGGCTGGGGGTGGCGGTGGGCTCCTTTAACTTGGGGGGGGCGTGTTAAAGGGACACCTGCATGTCTGGGCACTGAAGGGCAGCCGAGCCTGGAGGCGGTGGAGCTGAGCCGGGGTCCTGGGAGCTCTGCCTCACCCTCTCCTGCTCTGATGGCGCTGCCAGGAGCTTGTGGTTTTCTGGTGACTGTTAACCCCTTGGGTCTTTGGTGAGAATCGTACTGAAGAGCTCCTGAGCTGGGTCATGGGTGGGTCGTGTTGAGCGAGGCAGTGGTCATGTCCACCATAGGTGCCCACCACCAGGAAGCACATGCCAGTCAGCCGAGGGCTGGGGGTGCGGGGAGAGCGCCACTGTAAAGCGGGGTTTGCTGGGACGGCCTCTAACAGGGTGATGCCTGGGCCCAGGCGGGAGGTGAGGCGAGGGAGGAGGCGAGGGCTGAGGGAGCGGCCGGGCGTGCGGGCCCCCGCAGAGGAGCGTGCAGGGGGCTTCCTGGGGAGCTTCCGCAGACTTTCCAGGTGCCCTCAGCAGTTTCCATCTGACTTTTGACCAGAGGCCAGGGAAGGGCTTCCCTGAGGGGGCCAAGGGCAGCACTGCAGCCTTGTCCCATCTGGACCCAGGTTACACCCCCCCCCACTCCCTCCTAGGGAGCCAACTCTCACTGCCATTTTACTCATTGCGAGGGAATCCGAGAGGGGGGCAGAGGGAAACTCTGAGGCGAACCCTACCTTGGAACCCTGAGAGATCAACTAGCCCAGTCACTCATTCTACAGATGGGGACACTGAGGCTCAAACGGACAGAAACGGAGGGTCCTGCCACCTCCTCTGGCTCCTCAGTCTCCAGTTTGAATGAACAGAGCC